CGCACACATAGCAAAGTTGATTGGGAAGGGTAAAGCTCAGATAGGTAAGATGGACGAGATCCTTCCGGACCCACACCGAGACACTAGGATTTAGAGGTGTGTTCTCTTGAGTGTGATTGTACCTAAGCTAGAGTATGCAGGAGAGGTATGGGAAGGTAACGAAAAGGTCGTCAAGCAGCTGGAAACGGTGCAGATGGCAGCGGCCAAGAAAATACTAGGATGTTCAAGTACAACGAGCAACACTGTATTGAGAGCAGAACTGGGAATGTACTCTCTTAAAACAAAGAGAGACATGCAAAAGTTGAATTGGCAATACAAGGTAAGTAGAATGTCGGACGAAAGACTACCAGCCATGGTTGACAAGGCAGCTTGGGGAAAAGCGACTCCAGGGAAGAAAGGAATCAGATGGGACAAGGTGGTAGAGAGGGTTTGGAAGGAGATAGGAGACGAGGAGGAGACATTGGACACGGAAGGGTTCGGGGGGTTCAAGAAGAAGTCAAGGGGATGCTAGAAAGTAGGGAGGAGGCAACCCTTCGGGAAAAGGTACGAAGCGAAGACCACTTGGAGATATACGGGAAGTTGAAAGAAGGGATAGGGATGAAGAGCTACTTGGACGGCGCCATGGACGACGCAAAAAAACTGAAGTTGCAATTTCGAGCAGGCGATCTGGACTTGCCAGAACGGAGGAAGAGGTACAGCAGCCGTGGTTGAGAGGACGAGGAGGATAGACAGACATAACCATGTGGCAAATCGGAGGAGAGTAGACCCCACATAGTTGGGGAGTGTGAGCTGTACAGGAAGGAAAGAGAGGATCTCGAGGAGGACATGAGACAGAGAGGGTGTGACATGGACAAGTTTGGTAAATTAGACAACAGCGAAAAAACGATCGCGGTAATTGGGGATAGATGGTGGGCACAAGAGGCCGTAGAGGACGGGGATAAGATGTGCAAGGAATTTTTATGTAGTTTGTGGCAGAAACGTAAAGAGCTCCCAAATGTTGGTGGTGTCTCTAGTAGTGGTAGGAACGGTGCTCCGTCTCCAAAGGGACGCGTGGTCAATGGTCAAATGACTAAGGCAAGCAACAAATGAGTACGCCCCCCCCCCTCCCTCCTTGTTTGTGCGACAGAGACAAAGTTTGAAAAATCGTGAAACACAAAATAGGCCATTGCCCCCCCCCGTTGCTCCGCAGGCACAACGCAAGACACAGAAAAAAGACGCGACTAATAGAAGATTATTCACTGCACGGATGTAGAGATCAAGCGGCCGAAGAACCCTCCTCGTCATGAACCACGCGCTGTTTCTTGGCCGGGGAGCAGGCGGCCTTCTCCTTCTTCAGGGCGAAGTCGAGGTATTCTCCGAGGAGCACGACACGCTGTCCGTAGAAGCAGTTGTCGCAGCGGAACATGGAGGAGGGGTCCTTGTCGGTTCCTCCGTTGGTGTAGTAGAGCAGGCGTGCAACCTTGCGGCAGATGCCGCAGGCATAGTCCTTGTTGTCCTCGATCTTGCGAGCTTTCTCTTTGCAGACGCGTCCATCGGCGTGGGTGTAGATGCGGCCCTTCAGTTCACCCATTCCGAGGTACAGGCAGGCAACAGCATATTGGTGAAATTGAGAGCGAAGCATCTGATTGAGAGCGAGATTGCGCGATGCGCTGCAGCTAGACTACTGCTGAGAGGTGGAGCTTGCTGTGTAGCTTGAATTGCAGGGCTAGCCCGTAGCTTCAAGCCGATACCCTGGTCATCCTGTGGGAGTCTCTCGATGTGGAGTTACAGCGGCGAGCAGAAGCTACAGCAGGGCCCACCGCCCGAGGCCAAGCCGCCCTGCAACAGTNAATAGCCAATCTGGGCAAATCTAGCAACTTGTCTAGCTCCTCGCTGCAGCATCCGATGACGATGACACGCATATCTTCGTGACGCTGCTGATGAGACCTTCAATTTGCGCCGCTTCTTGGAAGAGCCCGCCCCCTACTTCTCATGAAATGGCAAGAGGCGTCTGGACCCGAATTTTAGTTTTTTGGGCTCTCGCTTTCAATTTCATGCTTTGCTCTCAATTTCACCAATATATGTTGTTCCAGGGGGGCCTTCCGGGGTATGCCGAAGTGAGGTTGAGAATGGAGTTGTTGCCAAACAGCCTAAGCTCTGAAAAGTCAACTGTGGGTTGCTCTGGGTGTGTACATGCGATATCCGGTCTCAGATTTTTTATCCGGGGTCGGGAAGGTGGGTTTTCAGCGAAATTTGGCGATTTATCTTACTCAATGTATAGGAAAAAGCGAAGCCGGGGACACGAAATTTCCGTCCCCCCCCGGGAACAAAACGGGGATTTACCCATAGCTTGGCCTATTTGAGTGCTTTTTTGACCACTGTTCCGGAAACAAAATCCCTACAGCTTGTTCCGAATGTATAGGAAAAAGCGATACAGGGGACACGAAAATTACGTCCCCCCCCGGGGACAAAACGGGGATTTTCCTATATCTTGGTCAATTTGAGTGCTTTTTGGACCGCTATTCAGCTACAAAAATCCCTGCAGCTTGTGCCAAACACACGGGGAAAAACGAGACAGGGGGCACGAAAATTCCGTCCCCCCCCGGGGACAAAACGGGGATTTGCCCACATATTGATCGATTTAAGTGCTTCTACTCTTCACGGTTGGCAGTCAACACATAATCACTAGCCCAACTCCGAGAACCTCCTCTTCGCAATGCGTACGCGCCCTCTTGAGCTTACGTATCTCTCTTCCTCCCTCTCCTCTTCCTCCTCCTCCTCCCCGTCCTCCCCCTCCTCCCCGTCCTCCTCCTCATCCTCTTCCTCCTCCCTCTCCTCCTCCATCTCCTCCTCCCCATCTTCCTGCTCCCCCATGCTCTCGTCAAGCGTCGGACTAGGCATGGGGTTGGGAGTAGGCGCCACAGGAGACTCGTCCGAAGATATCACCGGAACAATACCGCCGGTCAATTGAGTCCCAAACGTGCGTCTCCCAACCTTCTCCTTTCCCGACTTCTCCATCACCTTGCCAACCAAGTCGGGGTACACCTTCGCTACCATGCAGTCATCGTAGCAGCCTACTCGGCAAGTCGAGCAGTAGCACGACGCGCCCCGAACCCGCAACTTCCAAGATCTGGTGAAGTTCTTGGGGGCGGTCCATTTCCTCGCCCTGGACTCGTCTACCACCCACTTCCTAGCCGTCAACACCTTACCTCCGGCCGCTTCCACCCCAGAATCGTCTGTCTGCACCCCCACACTTGTAGCCCACACAAGACTACAGGTATCCTGCACATCCTCCTGCTCCTCCTCTGTTCCCGTGAAAAAGTATAGCTTGGAACTTCCAGGGATCCCCGTCAGATCTATCGGTGGGCGAGGAATTCCTTGGGGCCAAACTTCCTGACTTCGAAGCTCTTGATCCGGTAAGGGGACCAGGTTGTGAAGTGGCCTTCACGCGCCTTGTCCGCCTCCGCGGCGTAGCCTAGCAGAAACTCGTGCGCGACGCAGCAACTTGCCTGAATTTCCTGTTGCACGGGAAACGTCGTCGGAGTGCCAAAAAGCCTTGGCGAGAGCCATTACCTCGGGATTCGTCACGTCACTCCGTGTCTTGCGCTCGTTATACACGTAGCACCCGTCACTCACAGCGTCCCTGGGGGCGATGTCGTGGTTCGTGTTGTGCATCCGCACACGTGCGTCGCTGAAAGTCTCGTACCGAATGCCGAGACTCTTGGCTCGCTCGGCAAAGCTCACTCCACCAGGCTCAGCGGGCTTGCACCGGTTGCCAGGGGGGCACAGGTTGGGGTCAGGACACGTGTGCTCCCCCGCTCCCGCTGCTGTGGCGAGCGCTGTCGTGTACGCGGTCCACCCTATCGAGCTGTTGCTGTGCCGCTTCAGCGCTTGGAGCGAGGCACGGAGCGCGCGAGTGTTCGCCGCGTTGACCGCCGCCTCCTTAGCTGCTGCCTGGTCTGCAGCGCTCGCCCCCAGCATGGCCCGTACTCGCTCCATCAACACGTGGTCCTTCTGGATCAACTCCAGCGCGCTAGAGCGACGCTCCTCCGAAGCCTGCGTACATGTATCAGGAGTTGTTGGAGTCGGGGGAGGGTGTGTGTTATGTTCAGCAGGAGTATGGGTGGGCCAACAACAAATGCCACACGTAGAAGCCTGCAATTAGTACAACAGTGATCCCATGCAACTTTTCATGCGCTTTCTACGCTAACATCACGAAGTCGTGGAATGGAGATCAATCTCGGGAGCACGAGCAACAGAGGGCCGTGCGTACCAAAATTCAAATACTGTTTAAATTTAGAGCGGCACGAATTGGCGCCAAGAAGTACAATACTGTAGTCCAAGCATTTCAACAGCACTTCAGCAACCCAAAACCTCACCTGTTCCTCGCGCGAAGCCTCTGGGGTAGCCCCGCTTCTCGTCCCGCCATCGTGAGCCAATGCTAGAGGGTCGGAGAGAGCTACGTCCGCCCCCTTGCGCTTCCCCTTCCCCGAAGCAGCAGCAGCAGCAGCAGCGGCAGCCTGTTGGTTGCCGCGCTTTGATGCTCGTTCTTGGATGGCTTCAGCATGCTCTCTACCCTTTTCGCGGAGCTGATCTTCATCAGCAACTACAGAGGACAACTTACTGCCAGCTGCCTTCGTGGTACCCTTCTTTAACAGCCAGGAGGTTAGCAGTATCCCGCGGTTGTGCTTCTTCCGGTGCTGCCTTACTACCCTCTTTTCCCCGCGGACGTGGATTATGCGGTCTACAAGCATGAGACTGCAACGAGCCACGGCCAGGCCCGAGTCGGCACGGCCGTAGATGTTGGAGTTTAGGGCTGAGGACCTCGAGAGTGGTGTCCTCTGTATGTAATTCGACCAAGCGGAGTCGATTGCCGTGGAGAACAAGGCATGAGTCGTCGATGTTCATGGTGAAACAGGATGCGCCGCATCGCTTATCTTGAAAGATGTGTCGACGAACTATTTTTTTTTTTTCGTTTTTTTGTTCTTTCGGTTGGTCTCGCCGAAACAGTTCTAGAACCGGTCTCCCTTTTCCCTACCGACAGAAACTCCAACATCTACAGCATTCTCCCCCATTCGCCGGAAGGCCCCCAGAGTGGAAAGGCCGATAGGGGCGGCGCAGCTCTGGCAGTTGAAAGGGACTTTAGGCTTCACGCGGCGGGCGACCCTGCCTGGCGGTGGCGTTCGACTGAAGAACGACCTTCCGGCATCCGCCACAGCTGTCGATCAGCAAAAAACAGGCGAGGAAGGGGATGGGCGCGAGGGCATGATATTCAGACGACACGGAATTATTGAAGTTTCGACATGATGTTGCGGCAAAGTGCAGCGTGCAGGAGACCGATGCATCATGTTAGAGCGTCGCAACCATAGAACACACCGCTAGAAGATGATTTTACGAAATATGAAACAGGGTGGATCATCCAATAGCAAGGTATGAGATGATCGATAATTCGGGTGGCTCAGTTGTGTGTGATGGGAGTGTAGAGCAGCTCGGCCATGACGGGCCGTAGGGGTAGGTAAAGTCGTACAGACGTGTTGGAAAACGTGTTGTATACGTGTTGTATTAATCGGGGGCGTGCTTGAGCTCGTCATTCCATCACGGCATCAAGTCACGCATAGCGCCCAAACACCCAAAACGAATCTTCATGAATCTACGCCAACCACACTCCCAAGGAAAACATGAAGAAACTTCTTGTTCCTCCGTAGTTCGTCACTGCAATACCCGCATATGTATACGCAATATACCACCCGCGTGCTATGCTACGAGTATATCGAATAGCCCCCCTGCTCGTATGCATCGTCATGCTCCGGGAAAATATCATTGTCATCCTTCTCATACCAGTTCATCCCAAAACACAATCAAAACCAAGAAAACGAAAATACTTCAGACACGACGAAAGTATCCAAATACAGCAGCGGCTACGGTTTAAGAGAGGGTCGGTACAAGCCAATTTCACTCTCTTAAATCCGGCTTTCTGTTATATCGTGTTGGCTACGGTATAAGAGAGAATTCTCTTAAACAATATCTCACTATAAGAGAATATTCTCTTATATCGTAGACAAAACTAAAGGTCGTGAAACAGGGACTCTCGCGCACTGACTACACTCGAATGCCAAAATAGGTCATGAAGAGAGCGTATCATGCATGTCACTTGCGCAGCTAGCGTTACCACGTCGGGCTACCTCCAAACACCGCTCATTCTCTTGGTTGGCAAGCACGTGGACCCAAGTACTGCTGTACGTGGTACGCTTTTGGTGGATCTGCGTTCGGAAAATAAATCATCGTTATGTGATGCGATGCACATTTTGCACGTGGACACGTAATAAAAGGTTTTTGGTTGGTTGTTTTATAGCTGTGTTTCATAGTCGCACCTCTTCTAGAAGGACAACACGAGGCAACGAATGCACCAGCACTCAAGAACGACGCACCCGTTTACACAATGCACCCCTTCCTCCCACCGTACCCTCAACATAACACCCTCATACCTCTCATCCCATCGATTTACACCCCCGACAAAAACACAAGTCACCGAAAAAAAGGGAGCTTCACAATATCAAAACAAAACTCGCCGTACAAATAACACAAACCCAAGAAACCAACGGGAGGACAGGCAGTTGTGGCAGATGCGATGCATCTCGGAGGTGCCCTGAGGGTCCACCACACCACAGGTGCCATGGAGGTACTGCCCGCA